ACAATTAAAGGTAGCTCTTCACTAATTTTGAATGTGTCTGAGCTAATGAATGTATTGATTGCAGATAGAGAGTGAGCGTCACAGCACAATTCAACTCAAAATGTTCCAAAAGGAAAACTAAAGCCTGCTAAGTACGGAGAAGTAGAATGAAAACTTAAAATGATCGGTATTACCTTTCACAGTTTTGTTTTCTACGCTTAGCCAAAACTCTTAGAGAGTCGATTTCCTAAAAAAAATTACAAATAGTTCAAAAGACAACTTTACTTTTTTTTAATTAGTATCTTGCGTACTGGAAGCTGTATGGGTGCTGAACAGGGGAGAAGGTCACGTTTATGATTTGGTGGATCAACTTCCTAAAATTTTAAATTTTGCATAAATATGAACGAAGTACTATCGCTTCCTTATCAATCTCGCCCAAATTATATGGTACTCAATTTTTTATAGAATTTTTATGTTTTGCGTAATGTTATTTAAATAGCTCATTGTCACAGATGTGTATAGAAATGTTCTAATTTTAAGCAACAGTTAACATTAATGCATGAACGTCAAGTTTCTTCGTTTGATTTTAATGACGATACTACCCTTAAACTAAACCGGTGCACAGAGCCATTCATATCATTGAAGCATATCCGCTGTCCTCCATTTTCCACGGAATGTGCACAGAGTGACTACTGGACGACGTAATTTGATCAATGGTACATGAGACTTAAGAGAAACTACGACCTATTGTGCAGTGGATTGTGTTGCAGTGGATGACATCTCACACCAGTCTTTGTTGGGCACCACGAATTTAAAGAAAGAACAAATTGTAGCGGTTACTAGACACCTGATTCTACGTAATTTTCATGAAATGTTATATAGCCAGAGCCATATTACTAGTATTGCCTACGTGAGGTAACCAAATATATATAATTAATAACGACGGAAATCTAGCACTGATTACTATAGATTACCGTAGCATCAAATATAATAAGGACCGGTGACCCCTAACATTATCTTAAATCCGCTACTATATCCGTCGATAGTTAAAGTGTAAACTGAGCATTTTTACAGTTTTCTTACTGTGCCCCTTTTTTAAAAGTCCACTGAAAAACGGCATTGGAAGGTGAATAATTTGACTCCTCATCAATGCGTTGAATTATTCCGAATGGTGTTTGCAAAGGTCGGATTTTTCCCTGAGACAAGAGACCCTCCACTGGTATCTTGATAATTGTGAAAGCTTTTATTTTCGAGATTTCATAATTTATCCGTTGGCTATTTATTGGGTGAATGGTCAACAACGTTTTGAGGATTTCGTTCAGCAAAAACCGAAGTTTGGGAAACTCGTTTGGTTCATTGCGTCGCCCCAAGCTCATGATTCACCTAGTGGGTAAGATGACTGTTGCTCCCTTTATAATGGGCCAGAATCATGTTTTGATGCTTATTTCTTGTAGATTACCTACAAATAATAAGATCTGTTCAAACAGCAACTTTCTACGCTGAATATTAACCAAGATATCGCCCTTCGGAAGTCGGGTTTTTGACGTCATCCACCGAGGTAGAACATACCATGTTATGCACAACCACGGTGGATGGCATCATGAACCAGACTTTTCAAAGGGCGATTACCCGGTCCATATTCAACGTAGATCGTAGCTGTTTGGACAGATCTTATTATTTTCAGCTAATATACAAGAATCAAACATCGAAACACGATTCTGTGACCAGCGCAATTGACCCATTGTCTGTGAGGAAGTGTCGAATCGCCGAAAGTAAAAGCTTCCACCTGTCAGCAAGAGGCCAATGCAATACACTGGGAAAAAAAACACATTGGATCTAGAGTCCAGACTCTTGAAAACATCTTCAAGAGAAAGTACTCTTGATTCAATCAGAATCTAGCTTAAATCAAGAACCAAGCCTCTTAATTTAAGCGGATTTCGTTTTGATTCAAGCAAAAATCCGATTGAATCAAGGGTAACTTTTCTTGTCAATGTTTTCAAGAGTCTGGACACTAGATCCAATGTGTTTTTTTTCCAGTGTATGGAGAGTCTTTTGTCTCTGATTTTCCCGGGTCCCGATAAAGTGTCGGAGATGAGGCAACAGGAGCTGCAAGGTAGAATCACGGCGTCTCGCTCTGCGACTCGCGAAACCAGTGGAGCAAAGCTCGCCTCACTCCAATCAATTAGCGTCTAATTACCGATCCGCGAGCTACCCCTTCTCCACTCCTAAACGGCGTCCGATTGTTTAATTACCTCGTGATTGATTACCTATCTTGCACCTGACACTGCAATAAAAGATGCACACTGCGCTGCTCACGCCGCGCCGTGGATTACGGCCGTGTTAAGGTAAAACGCCGTATGGACAACTAGGCGTTGCCAGATTTACCTCGATAAAATGCGAATTTTTAGAAAAATCCGTGATTATTTTTCTTCACTTTTTTCTTATGATCTTACCCGCAATTTTTTCTACAGTGTCGGAAAATGTCAAGGAAAGATACCCATAAATGTTTTCAAAACTAAATATTTTATTCCCAGAAATCTGGCAACATTCGGAAGTACATACGGCGTTTTTACGTAGCACGGCAGATTATGTCCCGAATTACAGAGCCTCCGCAGGTGCCACCAAGACTGTCCGGCAAATTTTGGAATATTACAGCGCCGATCTCAGACTTGGTGGCAAAATGTGACACCTCTGTCTGTTTCCTCGTCCTACTATTTCCGGCCTTTAGAATAGGATGCTACGTTACTACGTCAAGAGAAAGTGCCGGGTATCACGTTGTTTTGATGTGTGCCCGGATTTTTGAGAGAATCAGCTCATCGATGTTGACTCCTCCGAACAACGCATCTCAAGTTATGACGTTGCAAATCTCTTGCCTTATTGTGCGTTTTTAAAGGAGGTCTGGTGATTGTTTTAGCACAAAGTTTTGGTTTCTTTTTTTTCACTCTTTTGAGAATATCCTCTGAGAACTTTACATCTTCATGGTTTTCAATCCAACCGTAAACGGGGACCATTTGTGCGGTGGATGACGTTACTTACCGAGTCTTTTGTAGGATTGTATTTTCACTAACAATGCTTGTGAAAACTGGGCGTTTTAGTAGATCTTGTTATTTTTTAACCATTGAAACACGATTCATGTGACTAATGTGTCTTACCTGTCTTGAGAAACTCGTCCTATTGAGCCGCTTAAAAGTTCTCATCATTACAGGGGATCACGATGTACAATATTGTGGCCCAAATTGTATTTGGAATTTTTACGCAATTTTTTAGTTCTGTTTAATGACTCATGATTTGTTTCATCCATGGCTTGCTGAATTTGTTTTATTCATCACAGTTTTACACGTTGGAGTCCTCCGTTACCTTTTATCTTGTCAAATGTTATCACAGTTATCAAATTTGGTTCAAGTCTGCAGAACAATGATTCGCTTCGAGATGTTTACGAACCTTTGAGTTTTGAATTAATAATAACATATCTCACATACATTGTTACATTCAAGGGACCTTTCGCAAATTTGGACGCTTTATGGAAGTAGGTTGCACTGTAGCCTCCTTTACTACCACTTATATCCATAGAGAAAAAAAAGGTGGTGTTTGCATTTTGGGCATCTTGGAATTTTTTGATGACTTGATGACGTAGGTGGGTACAGCGTGAAGGGGACGTCGCTGTACCCAGCTGTACCCACCTACGTCAGCAAGTCATCAAAAAATTCCAAGATGCCCGAAATGCAAACACCTCCTTTTTTTTCTCTATGACTTATATCTTCATATATCATGCGAAGTTCCTTAGAATCAAATTTGCAGAACGCTTTACTTTCAAAGTCTTCAAATTTTTATACATTTATTGGGTAGCTACTTCAACGAAGCAAAAATTAAGTATATCCGCGGATTAAAAGAAATACATAACATCAATAATTTTTAAGGACCGTGCTGTCTTAGGAATTTTTGAATTTGGAACTCTTAGTCGGATTCCTCCCTTTAGAGCAAGAATTCGCTTTCGAAATCGAATTAATTTTAATTATAATCACATATTCTACTAACTTGACTACTCCCAGAATAGTAAAGGGGTTTTTCTCATTCATTTGATGAGAAAGTTTCAACAATTCTAATTTTTACCCTCTTGATCGCGATATTCGCTGAAAATCCCGCACATCAAAGTCTTAATTTATCCGCTAGCGTGAAGCTGTTTTCATGCAGCTATCTCATTTTGAGAATCTCGTGATTTTATTGCCCATTCAAGTTAAAGCTAAAAATGTACGACTTTTCTATCGACAGCCAGTTCTTGTGAAAAATCTATTAAATTAACAACCTGAGAAGAGCGATAAAGCTGTGCGCTGTTCATTCAAAATTAATTAGTTTAATTTTAAAAATCCGTAACCTTAGAGCGAAAAAGTCTGAGAATTGCCGTTTCATATTTTTTTTTCGCTGAAAATCTATTATATTGCCTTTCCTGACACTGTGATTTATTTGGTATCCTGGTTCTTCATTAAGACTGCAGTATCAGCTAGGGACACAGATTTTTTAACCCTTTTTCAATCCTCATCGGAAATTCTACAAATGACAATAGCTCAATTTTTCAAACAAAACCCTAAACACAGGGATCTTCAGCTTCATCTCAGATAAGCCTTTAAGTAAGTTTTTCTTTAGTTGAAAAATGAATCAGAGAGAACGAAAACACATCAACTCGGAAAAATGAAAAGAATCAAAACATACACGAAATCGAACAGTAAATGAAGAAATTAGTCTAAGTAAGAGATTTTTGGTGCTGAAATACAAGGACTTAAGGGCATTTTAAAGGTCCAAGTTGGAACCGATGCTCTAAGTTCGATGACTTTTACAAAAATTGACAGTCTCCTATGAAAATTGAGGAATTTTGAGTTACCAAGTTGGTGTGTTTTCGAACTCACTAATTCAAATGACGTTAAGGCGGTAAAAACTATCTTCCAATCCCTCAAGATATTTAATCATTACTGCAATCTGATGGAAATCCCTTCAAAAAAAGCCGAGACAAAGGAATAAAAACTCACCTTCACTGGTCGAGGCGCCGGTTCCGAAGTCGATATCCACGACGGTGTTCTCAGTGCCGGGGTCGTCGAGGAACGAAGGGACCCTGACCCTGAGCACGTGGGTCTCGAAGAATCGATCCACCTGCCCGTCGATGACGGACCTCAACGAACTCTCATCCCTGCGGGCCGTCGTCTCCTCGGAGACGGTCGCGGAAACGGGCCCCGTCCTGACCACGGTCAAAAAGTCCCCGATCAAACTGACCTGCTTCTTGCGGCCTAACCTATCCAAAAACACAATGATCTTCTTCTGGAGGCACGGGAAGGACAAGTTGAGCAAACACTCCGAGTAGACGCCGTCGAGGGAGGCGGCAGGGTCGTCCCTGTCGATGGAGTTGGCGTCGACGAAAGCGAGGCCGGACCCGAGGGACCTCTCGGCGCGGGCCGTCGTCGGCTCGACCGTGCTGTTCTCCACGGAGGCGGCGAAGGTTAGCAAACAGTTCAGCGACACTAGGTACACTCGGTGGAGATATTTTGTCAACTTCATGGTCGGTTCGGGGGGTGTACGGGACGACGACGGGATCACGGCGCGTGTGTGGACGCGACCGGGAGCTGATGCATGAGTGGATTCGTCGGGAACTCGACTAACTCGCGGTCGCCGAGAGTGCCAACCCGCGGTCCATAGACTAAGATTTTATCCGGGCTCCTCCGCGGCCCCTCATTGGCTCGCTTTTGGCGGGAACGCCCGGTGGGGGGACCGAGCCGCGAGAACCCGAGATGCAGTTGCACTCGCATCTCGCCATCTCCTTCGGGCACTCTTCGCCATTGCATCCAAGAAGAGGCGAGTACTTTGAAAATCCCTCGCTTATCGCCTTTCATGGGTAATAGTTATATCCGGATTTTAGCATTGTTTTCATTTAGATAATAAATCGAAGGAAATTTAAGTACTTTGAAAATCCCTCGCTCATCGCTTTTCATGAGTAAAAGTTATACCTAGATTTCAGCCTTGTTTTCATTTAGATGATAAATCGAAGGAAATTGAAATACTTTGAAAATCCCTCGGTCGTCGTCTTCCATGGGTAAAAGTTAAACCTGGAGTCATCCATTTTCTCGTTTATTCAGTCAATCGATAGATATTGAAGTACTTTAAAAATCCTTCGGGCATCGCCTTTCATGGGTAAAAGTTACTTCCGGATTTCATCCATGTTTTCATTCAGATACAAAATCGAAGGAAATTTAAGTACAATCCCTCGCTCGTCGCCTGTATGGGCAAAAGTTACATCCGGATTTATCTTTGTTTTTATTTACATGGTAAATCGAAGAAAATCGAAGTACTTTGAAAATCACCTGCCTCTGAAAATTCCTTCCATTCATGGGTAAAAGTTACACCCGGATTCATCCTTGCTTTTCATTTAGATATTAAGTCGAAGGGAGTTGAAGCACTTTGAAAATCCCTCGGTCATCGCTTTTCATGGGTAAAAGTTATTTCCGGATTTCATCCAGGTTTTCATTTAAATAGTAAATCGAAAGATATTTCCGAGGGGATTTTGACACGGTACTGTTACTACGTGCAGAGAAGAGTATCGTTAGTTTTACAGTGCTCACAATGAATTCCAAGTCCTGTTTACTTCTCAACTCGTACTTACACTGTTCCTTTCGCGGTAAAAATTATTCCGGTCCGAGTGACAATGCTGCATTTTTACTGCAAAGTAGAGGACAAGGATTAAACTATGAGTGTTATCAAAGCAAAACTTTTATTCACTTTATGTTCTTTTTTCGGTTTGAAACATTTTTGGAGTGCTTAAAGTGCCTATTTTATTTAATGTTGGTTTTTAATTACGATGTAGATCCATACAAAGAATAATGAGAAGTAATACCAACTCAACGTGGCTCCATTTTAAATGTATTTCAATGCTCAAATGCGATAGGGAGGCGAAGGTTAAAAATTTCCCTCCATTCTTTCCTTAAGTTTTGATTATCATCTAAGACAATTTTGATCAGAATTATTTATCCATTAGTTTGATTAAATTTTTTCCCACGAGTATTTTTGTTTCTTTTTATTCACTCGTCATTTACACTTACTACTCCTGCAGTCGTGGAATTCCATGAGCAATATGCACACTGAGATAAGACGTCACAAACTCACCAGTCGTGCATTACGAACAATGACGAAAGAAATAGATACTTACATTACATATTGAATCAATGATTCCGAATAATATTAAAAACAATTAAACCGGAATAAGAGCTCCTTGACGTGACTCGTCCATAATAGAGTCTCTCTGAGAGACTTTAACGCGCAGTAAGGAAAGTAAGCCAGGGAAAAATATGTTGTAAACATTCCTTTAGGTTGCGTAATATTTATCGTATTACGTTAAAACCCTTAAAAATCGATTTTATGAATCTACTTTATGGGATGTGATCCATTTAATACCAATTTCTCATCCCATTGAATGATGAATAATCATGTCACCTCTGCAACCATACCACTGTGGCAACGGACTGTCGTTTTCTCAGCATCAAGAATGAATGAACAATCACCTGGATTAATTGAAAGAAATCCTCTTTCCATATTAAAGTTTTCCTCCGTTTTCAATCAAAAAGCTTCAAAACCGAACTATACAATAATGTATCATGCCCACTTGGATAAGTACGAACATCATACATACACATCAATTATTTATGATTATATCTCAGGGGCTACATTTTTTATTCCTCGGATTCATCGACCCACGATCAGTGACACACAAATCGTGACCTACCCTTTTATCGCTACTCCGTTATTAAGATGAGGATCTTAAAGACTGTGCACCCAAGCAAAAATCGATTGTCAATCGTAGATTGGAAGGCACCTGTAGCGATGTTTTCTACGTCGAAGGAAGTTGGACCATTATCCGGTAAAGACTGTAAGTTTGAAAGCTTGGATGATCGGTCTGACTTTTATTGCTCGAGGACATTTGAGTATTTACGCAAAGTATAAACCGTTCCCGTCTGGAATATATATATCTCAGTTTGGTTTGATGACTCTTTGTAAAGTTAGTGTGTTCATCCTGAGCCTTTTGAAAACAAGGAGAATTAGCAATATTCGAAAGTCTTTAACAGTGCACAGCAATGTATAGATGCATCTTTCTATGACGTAAATGAACCATGGTGGCATTGAATGTAGACAACAATTTTACCGCAATAATTCGTAGTTCCCTCGCCAAAGAACGTAACTTCATTCCAATGTTGCAAAATTTCCCTACGCAAATCGCATTTTCACCAGGAGAGTTTTGGGAGTGTCTAAGTGAAATTCTCACTGATTTTTCTTCTGAGCTTAGGCAAAAATCAGGAAAATTTTGAACAAAAATTGTATACAGGTAAAAAAATTGAATTGTTTTAGTCAATTTTGCAACCTTGGAATAAAGTTACGTTCCTTCGTCCAGGAGAGGACGAATTATGACACAAATTTTGGACTTTATTTTTTTTCGATTTAAAAAAATTAACATAATTTGGGAAGTTGTAAATCAAGTTGAAACGTTTTCCGTTCTTTAAGCGAAATTCTGTGGCTTGAGAGAGCAAAGTTCACGAACTTGACCCAACGATGAAATTGGAAATCGCGCAATTGATTTGGCTCCAGATTGACTCAAAGTGAAGGAGTGAAAGGTAAGGCCCGCGAGGCACCATACCCTCTTGCTTTTATGTAAATCAGAACTGTTTCTGGACTCGTACCTGGAGTTCACTTTACTGGGCGTTTAAGAGGAGCAAGTAAGTTGAGTCGAAAATAATACAGCGGCAAATTTTGAGGAGCACCCACTTGGGGGCTCCATTGCGGCTGCCGCAGGCCTACTCCACTGACCTCGGAGAGATCGTGTCTCTGTGGTCGAAAGTGAGCTTCAATTCAGACGTAGTACTCTTCGAGTATTTATCAAGAGGAAGGGAAAAACTTTCCTTACTAGTTCAACAACGCTCTCTCTATCTCTCTCTAAAAATCAAGTACAGATGTTTTGCATTGATAAATGATGACATACAAAAATATCCCTCTAATTTCAATGGACTCTATGAACAAAATGGATATTTCATGACTGGAAAATAAGACATATTTCATCAAATTGGTAGCTGATTTTGATTCCTAACTAGTAATATAGTTTAAAATTCTTGCTTCATCTGAGAAAGCTTGAAGAGCTGATTCCGCGGTATTTATTATGATTTATTCCGATGTAGGAAATAGTATAAATATGGCTTTAAAAGTGAGAAAGTCCACCACCTTGGTGTCACCTTGCGGCATTTCTCATTTAAACACGCATGGACTTCATTAGCAGATTACATCATTTTGTCACATCTTCTGCAATAATACATCAATTTATGAACTAAGGGTATCCTTATGTTCAGTTCACTTAAAGATTTCCAATTTAACATGAAATTAATCAAATTTCAGACACCTGCAAATTCTTCATTATTTTTGATAAAAAACTGTAACCAATGTAATCATATTTCTTTGACAGAATAATAACCAAAAAAACGGGTAAATAAAGCTAAAACTTTAAAGAAAAATTAAAAAAGCAGGACATTAACAGCCACCTCAGGCTCATTTTTGCCAACAAAAACTATAAAAGTTATTGACATATTGAGTGGTGACCAATTATTATTACACCATTGCTCTGAAAAAAAGAGACAGATATTGTTTTTGACTATTGAAAGTGAGCACATGACGGCTCAAAGCGTCGTTTCATTATATTGTTTCATTTTTTAAATTTAAGACAGTTCACCCAGCTTTTACATTTTTATCCTGTCGTGATCTAATTTTTGGGCTTTGTAATTTACGTAAGTATGCTAGAAGTCTACTTTTTACCACACTTTTTCCAGTGATACCAATGAATAAAATGAGGAAAACACACAAATCACCTGTTACATTTAGGACCCGATTGATGGTAGGGATATAGAGATACCGGATACAGAGTAGGCAACAGCAAAGTATGATAGCTGCTCATGACCTTTCCAAGTATGAAATAAAATACCGCTATTTTTAAATATCAAACAAATGACGGACAAAATGAATGGCAACAAATTTTTTATAGAAAACGGCTCAGCCGCTTTACAAGTCCTACTTTTCACAGTTTAATAGCGGATAGGATCAGGTATGGTAGCTCCACCGCTCTTGAGCATCTAACCAGGAGCATGAACTGCCTGCAGTCAATCAAAATCTCTACATAAATTAAATTAATATCGATTAGCTCCTTTCTAAGCCGGCGAGCCGGAGCTTTTCACCGGGCCTTTCATTCATAGGCACGCCAGATAAAGTGTCACAAAATCTTGGCGCGACGTATCGGTCAAGGCACCACGTTGCTAATAACCACTTAAAACTCCTCGCAAAAAACACGTTTCTGGGATGGCGAACATTTCCCGCGCGGAATGCACTGCAGTGGCGTGGCGTGGTTTGCGATATATCGATTGATCTATCATTTAGACCCATGGAAAAGGATCGATTAACAGGGTGTTCGCAGCGAACACCTTAATAATCGATTCTTTACCATAGCTGCAAATGGGGTAATATCGATAATCGATCATTTACGCCACGCTACTGGAATGCGAGCCTCGGCGCCGGGGGCTACTTCCGAGCCGTCCCTAACCGGGCGCTCGCGATACCTAAACATGATTATTATTGCATAAGTAATGGGAGGGCCGTGATCGA